TTTTTAACCAGTAGTTTGTCTATACAAACTACAGTGTATGTGACGTAAATCTTAAATACAGTTTGTTTGTTTCTTTCAATCAGAGTTTATCCACGACTTTGCTGTATGAATTCTCAAAATTGGTAATAGAGGGAGGGCTGTCGTGAGTAAATCCTCGATGAGCGAGCCCCCTTAGGCTTAATTCATACATTTCCCAAGGTAACAACCTGAGGGGACTAAGTCTTCACAAAGTGAAAGGTTATTTACAGTGACTGCTTATCCTGCGTGTTGTTTATGGCTGCGGTTCATGAAAAGAGATGGTCAGGATTCTTTATTATGGTATTCCTGGTTTATTGACGAGTGCTTGAGAAGAGATTACTATGATCACTTATGATGGTATTCCTGGTTTGCCGACATAATTTGTAATAAGTGTCTTGTATAATTTTAATCTTACTTACCTGATAGTGCACTGGAAAACATTGCATGAATCATTCATGCTTCCAAAGGGCTTATGTGTGCATACCTACATTTGTGTTTTACAAATTTATCTTCATTCCTAATAGCTGCGCAACGTGATACCTAGATAGTCTTATCTGCTCTCAAATAGGTGGAAGCCTTATATGTTACATTAACTTGCTAGCAAAAAATTATTAAACCAGTTTAAAGTGAAAAAAACAAAGAAAACAGCGTGTAAGCTCGGGCTATGTTTGAAGCACATTTTAAAACATAAATGTTAAACGTCGGAAGCCAACAAATCACACCAATATGTGAGCAAGTGCTGTAAACTTGGTTCCATCTGATGTTATGTTAGCAGATTTAATTCGGACTGATATAGTGGTAAGGATGTCAAAATTAAATCTGGTATCCTTCTCATTTTCATACCTCATAATGTTTTATACATACCTGAAGTTGAAAAGTAAAACTAATAAAAAAGGGACAAAATATGGGTTCTCTAGTCGGCAACATTTCGTAATAATGACCTTAACTACAGTATGGCGCTGGAATAATCAATTAAGTAGATGTGCAATTTGACTAATTTTTTGAGAGGCCAATTGCATACCCAGCTCTGCCCTTGGTGAAAGCCCGACAGATCCCGTGAAAGTCTTCAAGCAAAAGCGAACTCTCAGCTTATAATGGACTTTCTTTTTGGAGCTATTGTAATACACTTTAAATGTCTTATCTTTAAAAGTTTTTATGTTATTTTAAAAAGACTGCACTCCTCCGTGTTTTTACTCTTGAAATCGCGGAAAACACGCACAAATTGGGTAAAAATGAGTCAAATCTTTACGGGGATTTTCAGTAGCGTTCATTCTTCATGAAAATTGTTGCGTCACTACTTGTTCAAAGCAGCCCAGTTCACAGTAGAGATGTGGTTAAGATTTCTACTTTCTGAATTTTATATATTTAATGCATTAAATTTAATAATGATATTGAATTTTGCTTCTACGGAAAACTATAGTCTACATCAAGAAGTGAGAAATATTCTAAATGATATTTTAATTATGAAGTACTTCTCTAATTCAGGCTTAAGCGCTTATTCTAACCCTAGTATAAGCTAGAAATTAAATGGTGTGAATCAGAAAAGAGATGGAAACTTAAACAGCAGCAATATCCTTATTCTCCACATTGTATCTGAATATTTTATTACTGTCTATTTTGGTTATTCTGGGAAACAAGCCAAATGGTGAAAATTTTATTTACAATCTTTGACTTATAGAATTTTGTTGTGGTGCGAGTTTTGTTCAAACTCAACTAGTTACATTAACTACTGTAGTAACGATCTAGAGGTTATTCTATAAAATGTTTCCATTTTTCAATATATGATAAAGTTTAATATGCATTTGGTTTGCTTTTGGACTAATAAGTTAGCATGTCAAAGTTAGTCTGGATCGGTCAGCTCGTTTAGGAGGAGATGTGTCTGTTTACAGACAGAAACATTTCCTTGATATTGGACATTTACCGTCCCGATATCGCTTAATATGTATAACGCATATGTGAAGAACGCCTGTACCCCGATTTTTATACCCAGCTCTGCCTTGCTTCGCTCGGCAGAGCTGGATAATTATCTTTTCTACAGTATGGCACGAGAACAAGCAATAATGATCTTACCTACCACATGGCACTAGAACAATCAGTAATGATCTTATCTACCATGTGGCACGAGAACAGTCAATAATGATGTTACCAACCTCCCCCGACTTCCCTCTGTGGTTCAGTGGTATGTCTAATGGATTAAAAAGGCTAAAAATTGGGTTTCGATACCTGCCGTGGGCAGAGCGTAGGTAGCCCATTGTGTGGCTTTGTGTTTAAAGCTCACAACCTTACAGATTCTATGAGCTTACAACGCCACAACTTTAATGGTGTATGGCAGTAAAATGAGGTGAAAATTCCTCATGTAAAAACAATGACTCCTGAAACATACCGGATCAGTACTTTTACATGAATAACTGAATAAATTATATATTTGTGTTTATAATTGTAAAGACCTTTTATATTTACAAAAAAAAGCACAAAGTTACTTAACTGTTTAATAAAACAGATTTCTATAGACTTCGTGACTAATGCAAAACTTTTACTAATGTGAGAAGCCAGAACCTGAATCAAGTATCCTCCTCAGAGTTGCAGATGTGGTATCTTCAACTACAGAAATCAGATACTGAATGTTGTGTTTTGTAACAAACAATAAAATTATTACAATTCTATCTTTAACAAAGTACAACTACTCCAAAACTTTTTACAAACACTCTCTCTCTCTGTATATATACAAAAAAAGACGTCGACGCTCAGACATTTTACTCTCATGTATGAAAGTATTTGTTTGATCAGGGTTAAAATAATATACGAAAATGTTTTTTTTCCTTAAAATGTCAGCAAAAGTAATCTAACTTTAACATGTTAAAATATATCTCATTCTTCAAACGGTCAAAAATAATATCAAGTCAGGAGATCTTGAGAAACTAGGATCATAATATTCCTAATAAATCTAAGAATGAATTTCTTGTTTATAAATTTGAATGAGTTACTGAAAGTTACTTATATATGATGTTTCCGAACCAAAAAATATTAATGTTTTATGATATACGTATTAAAATACTTTAATGAATTGATGTTTTGCCACTAGGCTCTAATTTTATTTGTAAAAACTATTAATTTACACAAATTAATAAAATCGTTTTGGAAATAGATGATTCACAGAAAATTTCAATGTATCATAAAGAATGAGTAAAATACTCCCAAGACATCGTAATTAAAACAAATTTTACTTCGAATTCTATAGTCTTTGATAATATGCATTTTATGTAAACGAGAGCTTGGTGTAAAATCATTAGCACGTATTAAAGAATTGTCCTCTGTCTTTGAAGCCCACCCAGTAGCGCAGCGGTATGTCTGCGGACTTACAACGCTAGAAACCGGGTTTCGATACCCGTGGTGGGCAAAGCACAGATAGCCCATTGTGTAACTTTGTGCTTCACTTCAAACAAACAAACGAACTGTCTTTGAATCAAACATTTTACACAATAAGAATGAAAGAGAAAAGAGAGAAAAAACTTTAAATTATACACGCTCAGTTGAAAAGTATAATAGATTGAATATTCGTTTTCCTTATCATCTTCACGTAGTATGCCACCCAGTCAGAAATTATAAGTTGAGGACTTATAATGCTAACATCCGGAGTTCGATTCTCCGCGGTGGACAGAGCGCTCAAATAGCCCATTGTGTAGTTTTGTGCTTAAATAAAAAAGCATGGTAAATCTATATTTTTACAAAGATTATATTTTAAAATGTTTTACAAAATAGATCATCATAGAAAACCTTAGTTTATTTCAATTTAAGATCATTTTTAATACATCTTCATCATGTTAATTTCACTTGATTATCACACGTTGGTGAGTTTATAATTAAGATTATTAAAGTTGTTTAACATTCTAACTCGGGCGGTAGTTAAAAAGTTTAATTATTAAGTAATGTTTAACTTCTTCCGTTCCTAGGGTACATGCAGGAGTTTCCCTGACCTTCAGGACTTTCACAACATCTGTTCACTGTTGGTAGGAGCCTCGAGGGAAGCAACTTGTATCGTATGTCTCATCTACTTTACGATAAGAGGTGTCAGTTCAGAGTACTGTTCGCCTTCTTTGACATGTATGAAATCTTACACAATTTTCACAAAAATCGTAGTTGAAACTTGGTATAATTTACTTTGTACCAAAATCTTGAAAAGTTGCGGTGCATTTTATTGTAATACTATTAATATTTTGATATGACAAAGCTTTAAAATGGCTCAACAAACTTCATTGCACATATGACTAATAACAGACTAATAGTTATAAAGTACTAGGTAATTTTGAAAATGCACTAATTTCAATAATTTGTATAAGTTTTTTTAGTAGGCGCTAACAGCACCATACAGACAACACTTAGTTTTAATAATGCATATTAATTTTCCCAAGGATGATGATAGCTTAATAGTGGATAAATTTTACCATATAATATTGAAAACTATTTTACATAATACATTTGACTCCACTTCCAAGGCATTTCAAAATTATAATATGACCTGATATGATCAATACTTTTGGAAGTGCCCCCCAGTAGCACAGCGATATGTCTAGGGACGTACAACGCTAGAAACCGGGTTTCGATACCCGTGTTGGGCAGAGCACAGATAGCCGATTGTGTAGCTTTGTACATAAATTCAAACAAACTTTTGGAAATCCACTTAAAAAACAATTCCTTTCCTATTATTTCATTAATTACTCACGTACAAATATAATTAATTGACTGATTTCTGTTATTATCAAATATGACAAAATAAGTTTCATTTTTACTTTTATAGATACATGACAGACGTATGAGGTAATTGCACATCTAGAACTCGTATATTACCATTAATATGTATATATATATAATAATACCAGATTCACCCAAAATATACATATATTCACAATGAAATATTTTGAATTAGCTGCAAGTTTACAATTACTAAGATCCTAGCATAAGAAGTGAGAGAGAACAAAACTTACCAAACAGAAGAAGAGATAAAACCAAGATGTTACTGCCCATTTTAGTTACAGGACTTGATATAATTTTCTGACTCGAAAAACCGTGTCCTTTTATCCTATGTCTTGCTCCGGATATTTCAAACCCAGATACAAGCTTAACAGACGCTAAAAATATATTTCTATTGACACTTTCATTCAACCAATAGGATGGCAGCGCGAGCTTCTGCGTACTCATTCTTGCTTGTAAGACTGCGTAAGCGTGATGGTGGATTTTTTTAACATCGGATGGGGTGACTTGCTATTAATCTCCTTGTATTTACACGGGAGGATCTTTAAAAAGTTTCCCAAAGTATTATGTAACTAGTATTGTAACATACTCATGAAAATTAAAAACAACACAAAACATGAACTTTACTAATTATAATGTTTTTACATTTCTGTAATTTTTTGTCAGTTGTTTCATTGGTGCGTTGAAAATCAGCGCATTTTGAAAATGAAGATATCATATTGAAATTCATTCTTTCTTCAGCATGTGCTATATTAGACTCGAAAGTATATTTTTGTTTAACAAAAAAGCATGATTAACATATTAGTTCAATTGGAAAGCGTAGTTAACAATTGAACTTTTAGAGAACAGTGCATATGGTTTTATATAAAATGATCTTAGTATTTCAGTTGTGTGTACATTAAGATTAATATGAACATTATGAATGAAGGTGTATATAGTTCCAATTCGTATTTATTATGAACATGTACCCTTCGCAGAAGGAGTTTTATCTCTTTGCACTTTGTTCATCTTATCATCAGATGATGTAGTCCCTTAAGGTAGCGGACCTTGAGACCCAGTTTTCTTCTTGATAATAAACATAGTTACCTTTACGTATGAGAACTCCAACGGACTTAAAGTATCCATGTGTTTAGCTTCACTAGATCTCATTCAATATTTCTTTCAACAGAATGTTTTTTGAGGGAAGCTAACCATTCTGTCACTCTGACCATACTTTACGTTCTCTGGCAAAACAAATATCTATGAAGGTTGTATGTTTCAGCCTACAGCGATTTGATAAATGGTATTGACGCAGCATAAAAAAAACCGATCTAGAATTTCTAGTTCTACAAGAATCCTTTGTAATATCTACCTTTTCTGAATCCATGATTACCATACCATGATTACCATTATCGAATAAAATGTGTCGATTTTGTGGCATATTCGGGTAAAACTCAGATAGCCTTAGAGCAATGGGATATGTCCACTTAATAACAGGAGGTTCAACAAGATATTTATTACAAAGTAGTATTGAATTCTGAGTGACTGAGTTCGTAACAATGAAATAAAAGGACTGGGCACAATCCAGTTTATTTTTCGTTTTCGTCCAGCTAGTGTTGATATATTATGTAACCTTCTGTGAAAGACCGGTCAATATGACTTGTAATAAATTTATAAATATTATCTTGAAAGTTTTTCCTTAAGATTACGTAAAATTGTCGATACATGTAGAGTGATTTTATTTACGGTCGCAATGAACGTCCGTTTTGTTCATTTGATTTTAAGCAAAGATTAGTTTGATAGTTTAATAACAGTCGCGTGTCGAAAAGTCTATTTATAAAATATGATTTCAGAACACGGGAAAGCAAACAACTTGAATAAACAGTGAAGTCAAAAATGCAAGGGAAAATTTATGATGAGATATGCATGACCAAAGTATACTTAGATAACATCTAACTCAAGACCTGGCATGGGCTGGTGGTTAACGCACTCGACTCGTAATCTTTGGATCACGGATTCGAATCCCTGTCACCGAACATGCTCGCCCTTGCAGCCGTAGGGGCGTTATAACGTGACGGTCAATCCCACTATTTGTTGCTAAAAAGAGTAGCCCAAGAGGTGATTGTGGGTGATGTTAACTAGCCGTTCACTGCTAAATCAGGGACTGCTAGCGCAGATAGCCCTCGAGTCACTTTGCACGATATTCAAAACAGACAAAACTAAACTCCAAATAAACATTTACCCAAGTGAATATAACTGAAGACTGCCTCACAAAAAGAATCAATCTGAAACATTCTCAAAACGTAGTTAAAACAGTCAGCGTATAATCAGTCACACAAAAAAAAAGGAAATGAAGAGCAGGAAAACAAAGAATTAAAATATATTAAAACTTAAACAAAAGGAATGCTTGTTTTCATTGTACAGACAGCTATGTTCTGTTATCCTTAAATCACCCTCTCCTGAGTGAGTACAGGCAAACATGCCTTTCTATGTGACTATTGCTCTACTCTTAGCATACGCCAACTAGAGCTGGTGTGTCTCATATTTACTAGTAGACGCGTGAACTGACTTCCGAGAATATGTGAAAAACGATTTAAAGGAAAACTAAGCGGCGTTAATAACAATACATCAATTTCTTCTTAAAATGTTTATCCCAACAAAAGTTCGTTAAAGTCCATAAAAAACTATCTTGTGTAAGAGCTATTAAATGACTAAACTTGATAACAATAAACTTAGAGAATCCCCCAAGTTTAATTTTAAGGAAAAAGCCAGTGAATCTAGAAACTTCTTTTATCCATTACGCCCTTAGTTGGTAATTTCTTAACATGCAAATTATAAGACAAAAGTAATTGAATCCAGAAACTTCTCCCTTAGATGATAATTCCTTATAACATACAATGAAAATATTGGTAGGGAGTAAACTTGGCCGTTATAAGATAATACACTTTTTAAAGTCTCGAAATATGAATGCTACCTGACTTTGATTTACATCTCCACTTTCATCACGTTTTGAAACTTTTTTGCGTATTCGTTCCGCCTTTTAGACCAATAGGAGATTCCCCACAAGTAGTAAAGACCTAGACTTTAGCGTAGTCGTTTCAGATATTCCATGATATGTCCTCTCACACGAACTAGTTGTTGTTTTTCTGAACAGAATCAGTCAACTCCGATCACATTAGTGTCTACTCATTGAAAGACACGGAACAAAATTCCAGTTTCACATAAAATATAGCTAAGAGATAATACAGTTTGATACTGTAGTAAAGGTTAGCTGCCATATGCAAGTATGAAGGAACGTGAACTTATACAAGCTGAGGATCCCATCCTTTGTCTGGGTTATGAAATGTGTGGGTGAGCGCTATGATAAATAACGCAAAAATCCTAACTTTCACATGATATTTATACTATAACATATTATTACAGTATTCATTGTTATCTCACCAAACGTTCTGTATAAGCTTTAATGACTCACTTTGTATAATATATACTTAAAACATGGTATGCACTGTGTGATGGTCAGAGTGACCTTTTACGAAGAGATAGCAGCCAAAGTATTGGCGGTAGAGGTGCTTTCACTTCCCCACTTTCAAGACCCACCTCAATGTCCTTCCACACTGTTTCACGTCATTAATTAATTGAAAGTCATTGGCCACAGAAGTGTCTTCTGGGTGAAGTTGTAAGGTCACGGGGCAAAGTAGGAAGTGGATATAACTTAAGAAACGGTTCTTCATAACAGCGTTATGGTGGTTGTTGTTATATCAACTTCATCTGAGTTATGTATTATTGCAATTGTGATGGCCTTTTTTTTTTATATTGCATTCCTCCATAGAGAGTGTTACCGCATTCTCTGAGATATATAAAACGTTTGTGTGCCTTCCCTTACACTGTGTGTCTGTTGTGTTACAGAAAATTTAACGTGCGTATGTGTGTGTTTTCTTATAGCAAAGCCACATTGAGCAATCTGCTGTGTCCACCGAGGGGAATCGAACCCATGATTTTAGCATTGTAAATCCGAAGACTTACCGCTGTCCCACCGGGGGACTGAAATTTAATAAAGTTTATGTTTTGGAGTAAGAAAGTGGCGCTATATACGAATGTAGTTAACGTTAACTTACGTCAAATATATTAAATGCTCTATATAATCAATAATGGGGGTAAAATTTAAAAACAAGAAGGATGTATATGTTCTCAGTAATCTATGTGACAATGCCCCACCAAAGAGGGATGTCGGGATTGGATGCTATCTTTTATGGACAAACCAGAATACAATCAACAGAAGGGTGGAGTAAATAAAGTAGATCAGGTAAAAAATGTTACCATTAGTATTTTATCATAATTCTTAGATCCTGTATGATGTAATTTTCTATGTGTAAGTCTTATTTATTATTGAAGTCCCATAATAGATATTTTGGTTGATGATCGAGTCATACCAAGCTACCCGAAAATCTATGAAGTGATATAACTAGCTCTACACGTGACTTATGTGTGTGTATACTGAATATGTGCCTGCTTCAATCGTAGGCTGGGGTGAACTGAACTTTCTAAACTGAGTTATACTTATAGGTTATTTTATTCCTCACAATTAATGTACACGTATATTGAACAAACTTAATCAATCCCGTGGTCTAACGGTTTTGGGAGCTTTAATGTTTCCTGCCGGTGATGATGTGAATATCGCCAAACTGGAACATGCGGTACGTCTCACAGAACGAAACTTGTGATTTTAACCTCATAAACTTGCAAAAGGAGAGAGAGTAAAAAAATATCTTACTCGTCTATGCCTTATTTGTTATACAAAAGGTACTCATGTGTGCCAACTGCTCTTCTAATTCTGTATCTTACCTTGAGTGTTTAACAAAATTTAAAAATCTACCGAATGACAAATGTAAGTGTACAATTTAAGTCGCAAATAAAGACAAGTTTCCTCAAAATCTATATATATATTATATTTCTATTTAATACACGACGCAGTTATTCTTATTCAAGACGAAAACAATAAGAAAAATTAAAATTTTTGTAAAATGATTTTTGTGAAGAGTCAGAAATTATCGAAAGCGAAGGAAGACTAAACTTACAATAATGAACTGAAACTATCAAAATCAATCATAATCAGGACAAGTATCGGTGAACATTCAGTATGCGTATAAGCTCTGTGATTACAGGAGGTGGGAATATTGCATTAATATTAAATAAGCAACAATGCGAAAATAAAATCTTTAAATTAAACTATTTCTTTACAGAAGAAGCAAAAATATGCTGTAGTGGTTACTTGTTATGCTACTTTACTAACAAGCAAATATTATTTGAACTCGAATTATCAAAAACAGTGTAGTTAAATCAGAAGAATATCTAAATGATAACCGACAAGTGAAAGTAAAAAC